AAGCCAACAAACAAACAAGCAAACAAGCATACATACATACATACATACATACATACACGCATACGTACATGCGTACATATGCCCCGGCACATTTACTCAGCATAACCGGTCAAATAGATACAGATCGCAACAGTCTGCCAGTGTGGCCGTAGCATGGACGGCTCCAGCGAGGATGCCAGAAGCACTGCAGCTGCAGCCAGCAGTCTCGAAGGGCAGGCCCTTCGGGAAACTCTCGGAAAGGTCAACGAGCTGTTGATAGAAACGTCAAACCCTAAGATTCAGGATCGGTGCCTGGCAGTGGTCAATTCCCGCACGAACTTGCAGGCGTCGGTTGGGACCCGCATCTTCGAGATCAACGTGAAACAAATCGACGGGTCCACAACGCCGGTCACAGCACCTCTCCTGCATGTTGCGCGATATATGCACGGATCAGTCCTGTCGCTGTTTTTACGCCATCCATAGTGTCATGTTGTACATGCTGGTAGCGCATGCAGCTTTACGCGTGGGCTCCGGTTCTCCGACTTTCTGTCACAACGGGCTTTGGTTGTCAGTTGTTGCTGGAGTCGTTTGGGTTGGGGTTTCTGAGCCTCCAGACTCGCGCGACACTTCAAGGATCATGTATTCACAGCTGCATATATGCCTATGTTCGGTGCTTCGAGAGTATACTGAACACGGCCAAAACATCGATAGAGCGTTTGAATGTCTTTCGATGTCCTGCGTCAAGAACAAAGATCAGGCGGTGCTTCAAAGCGAAACCCGTTGGCACTATCTATGTGTTCCAATGCTCTGGTAGTCAAATTGAACCCTGAAAGCTTAAGACCTGAACTGCAGCCATAACCCCTTAACTATTAACTCTCAGCCCTAAACATCCCCAAATCAACCCCGATGCTTGGAGGTTGCAGGCTTCATAGACCCCAAGAGAAAGGTGGCAAACATAATTTTCTTGAAAAAAGCACCATAAGCAGCCTTTCAACTCGAGGTGCGCTCCTCCTTCAACGGCTGGGCTCTGAAGCAGCTCTTAGCCGAGAAGCTGGGCGTGCCGGCAGACAGGTCGGAACATCTGAAGGGGGGGACACATGAGCCAGAACCTGAACTTGCATGGAGGAGCTTATCTACTTCTTTGATTTGATTCCCGACTGAATCCCAAACCGCATGCTCTTGTTGAGTTTCAGTGGTCCCTGGAACTGTTTCTGCTCCTTGGTATTGTAATACTATTATAATAGTATTGCAATAGTATTATAATACGATTATAATGCTGTTACAGTACTATTATAATACTAGTATACTACTATTAGGTGAGGAACATCCGCAAGAACCCAAGTGTCAGAGCACGAAGACAATTCGAGCCAGGCAGCGCTTGATCTGCCGCGGCCGTGCCATCCAGGACCGAAAAGGAATCCTTTCTTTCGAAGCCATTCCAGGTCTTCAACTGTCTTCTTTCAGTGGTTGTGTGTGGTATATCCGATGCCAAAGAACTATTTTGAATGTAGTCTTTGAGCAGCTCAGCCTTACGAACCTTATGGGGGCGTGCAGACAAGCTTTGGGAGTCCAAGGTTTCGTGGGAACACATGCGTGACGACGAGTCTTTGCTGACAAACATGTGTGCATCTCCGTCGGACCAACTTGTGCATCGTGTCCTGTAGATGACTGGTGGAGAAGGTGCCCATCAAAGCCTCGAAGTGAGTTGAAGCCACATCCAGAGCGACTGGCCTGAGGGTGAAGTGCACAGTTTAATGCCCCCGAATCAACCACATCGTTTAGGTGTGCAGACATCTTGACCAACATTTGTGTTTTGTTTGTGAAACAGCTCGCCCAATACGTCCTAGTTATGGGAGTTTCCGGGGATCTGGAGGCATCGATTCGTTAAATTATCGTGACATTGACTCGACCTTACCTCCGTGGAGGACGACGATCAGCTGGATGCACACGTGACCGAAGATGGCCAAACCCTGCCGCACGGCTGGAGTCTCGAGAATTTACGTAACACTGAGCTTCCGAGATACAGAAACCCACCCTCCGTGTGTGTGTGTGTGTGTGTGTTTGTGTGTGTGTGTGCGCGTGTGGCTGTATGTACGTATGCATGAATGTATGTATGAATGAATGTATGTATGTGTGTATAAATAAATAATAAATAGATAAATATAAATATAAATATATATATATATGTCTTTGTGTGTATATGTTTGTAAAATACGCTGCTTGCAAGCATATAAGTATGTTATATATTTATAGTGAACATACATGTATATGTACATGTATAGGCACAGATGTGTCTATGGACTCATAAAACTCATGTGTATAGATGCATACACTCACATATGAGCAAGCCCAGCCGCACACCCAGAGAAAGATATATATATATATAGATATAGATATAGATATAAATATAGATATAGATATAGATATAGATATAGATATAGATACACATCTGTATATGTAGATGTGCATATACGTATACATACACAGACATATATAGATAGATATAGATAGATAGATAGATAGATAGATAGATAGAGAGATAGATAGAGAGATACACATCGGTAAATGTAGATGTGTATACATATATATATACACACACATATTTGCGTTATATATATATATAAAATCGTGTGCGCCTGTATGTGTATACGTATGTGTATATGTATATGTACATGCATATGTACAATACGTATCTACATACATACATACCTACGTACGTACGTACGCACGTACGTACATAAGTGCATACGTACATACGTACATACGTACATACATACATACATACATACATACGTATGCATGTGAGCATCTGCCTGTCAGTCTAGTATGGTGATCTATGTCAAATCTATGTGGGATGGAGTACAGATTTCAGATCTTTTGCGGGTGTTGAGGTTCCGGTGCAGGATGTGTTTTAAAGGGTTGGAAGGCTTAAACCTCTTCTGCACCCCGGTCCCTGCTTCCCGGATTCCTTCTTCGGCGGCTGCTGCTGCTGGTACTAGTTTCAATTGTTGCTGCTACCTTGGCAAAAGCCCTGTTATCCTAAGCTGGTGAGATCTGCGTAGTGAAAGAACGGTTGAAAGAACTCGACTCGCACAACGAGCAGCAACCAGAAATGACCAGCCTAAAACTAGTTCAGGCTTCTTGTTGCCTCGTTTATATAGGTGTCCGGATTGCTACCCACTGCCTTCGTTTCGGAACTTCGCTTTTGCTGCCGGGCTGACAAGTTCATCCATTTTGACTGCAGAGTCTGCCGACGGTTCTGACTTGGCCTTCGACTCTGTGGCGCATCTCGCAGTTGGTTTTCAAGGTCTACGGTATAGTTCGTGGGTGACTGTGTCGGGTTTAGCGCTCACCCTGGGGTTGGACGCGGCATGTCAACGAACAGGATCTTGCGCACAAGAATCGCTTGAGTCCTACAGACATGCCATCCCTGCTGCTTCAGGCACATGGTCCAGCGTCCAATCGATGTGGGCCGTTCCGACAGTGGGGCTTCCAGCAGCATCGGTGCTCAGGGGTTCGGGGATCTGGGGGTTTGGAGTCTGCGTGGAGTGTACTGGTGGTGTGACGCCCAAACTGGTCCCTTCTTCGGTTGTTGCAGGTCGCTTTCAGCAGAGCACTCATAAGGCACAACGCCTGCACCGGGACCGGGACCCGGATTTCCGTACAATGTCCCAGTCTTCCAGCAGCTGGGCCGCAATCAAGCTGGCACCACGGGCCGAGGAGCGTGGCTTCGAGTAAGAACAGCCTGCAAACCATGGCAGGAATGGCCCGCCGCCCATGTTCGGTCCACCGCCGCCGCCGCCACCGCATGCGATTCAGCTCGTGGCGACTCTGTGGCATTGGCCAGTGGGTTTCTGGTGCTCAGGTTCCAGCCTTGCAAGGGATGCCTATTGAATAGATTGGGTAGATAGCAGGCTGCAGAAACTCCACCGCTATACGGATTTTCTTGGCGGTCCGATACGTCTACCTGTTCATTGTCGCCAGAAGATCGAAGTCTTTCAGGCTCCGCTGCCACAGCCGGAGATGCCACAAGGACCGAAGGGAGTCGGAGAGGCGTTTCCTTTATGCTTTGACTTTCGAGTCCCTTTTTCAGGTTGATGGTCGTTTTAAAAACACTCTGGTCTGCGGCTGCTGGTAGAGACATGGGCCTGTTGCAGGGGATCTCGGGTGCCTGTGCCAAAGTTCCCACATGCATTGGTGCTGCCAGGGTTCATCCGGTCGGGTTGTAGCTGTTACAATTGGCGGAGCATCCAGAACTTCGCCAAACCGATCCCACAGAAGATTGCAGCTCCGCAATACGCAGGAATTGCGCCCTTCTTCCCGGGTCCACAGATGCATCCTGCCGGGATGCCCGTGCCGGTGCCCGTGGCAATGGGAGGGCCCATGCCCCAGGCTCGAAGCACCAAAAGCCTGAAGTGCCAGCGATGTGTGGTCATTTATTTTGGAGCCTGGAGCCTGGCATAAAGACCTTCGGACAGTCCCTAAGATCACTTGTAGGTTTGTAATAGCGCGTCTCCTTGATCTGAAACCGGCAGGTGGTTCCGGCACCTCAGATGCCTCCGATGCCACAGGGCCCGCCACAGTCCTATGGAGCGCAGCCACAGCCGCAGCCTCCCCAACCACCCCAACCACCTCCTGATGAGGAGACCCCTCCTGCCCCGTTTAACCCTCTGCGCCGGACCCCAACTGCACCGCCAACCCATCAACAGACACCAACGACCCAGCACGCCCGTGGAGGCACGGCTTCTGCATTGAGAGCCTGAAAAGTTTGCTTTCATGGTTCACCTGCGAAGTTCCTGGATCGAGGTCCCGAAATGGGAGCTGCTACCTCTGGGCCAGTGACATACCTGTGCCTCGGCTCGGGAAATGTTGATGATGTCCAATGGTGTGTTTCTACTGTACAGTTTGGCCAGCTTCAAGTGTCTCATCGACATCGGCAAGCCAGCGAGGTTGCTTTTCCAGCGGGGTCAGCAGCATTTTGTGTGTCGTGTTCCTGGCAATCATGTCAAGTCCCTCCATCGGCTTTCGTTTGACGCAAGTACCACAAGGGTGCCCGTGTCCACGTGAAAAGCCTAAGCCCCGAAGCTTAATATAATCATAATAATAATCATCATAACAATAACAACAATAACCATAATCATAATAAGAATCATAAGAATATTAGTTAACAACATCACCCACTCGCCTCCTGAATCCCTTTAGCCCGTTCGTCTCAAGATGCAACTAAGGGGAGGCCCTGGAACGCGACCCCTGCCGGTCAAGGCCCCACCGATCACCCCACCGATGATGGGCCCAGGAGCACGTCTGGTTGGGATGAGAAACGTTCACGGTTTTGACTCAAGACGGCTTCCTTGCTTTTCCTTGTGCCCATCATCTGTTGCAACTCTGCCACCCCCTCCTCAGCTGGTCGAAGGAGCCATTCTTCACAAAGCGCCAGCGCCCTTTCCCTACTATGGCCCACCGTTCGGGCAGTTCATACCTACCCATGCCGTGCCAATGCCCCCGCCCACGTCGCTTGGTTGACAATTGACTATATTAGAACCTTGCTGCGAGTTGATTTTTGTTGTGCTCGATGCTGCGAAGATCCACAGAGGAAATCTGTCGACCTGGCTCAAAGAGTGTCGGCTCGATGCAGCCCACACTTGCGAAAGAGTTGATGCTCAGTCTTGCGAAGGGTGCGGCCATCGCGGGCAGTGGTTTGTTTGCATGTCACAGGAATTGTGATGATGTCCTGGATGATGAACAATGACGAAATCGAAGAACAGGCTGATGATGTTGTTGTTCTTGATGATGATGATGATGATGATACTGATACTGATACTGGTACTGATGATACTTATGATCATCATGACGATGATGATGATGATGACGACGACGATGCCGA